CTCGTATTCTAGATTATTTTTCAGATACATTACACTTTAGGATGATAGGCTGGGATAGAGAACTGTTTCGGTAAGCCCTTTCTTTAAGCTGCTGCTTAAGATTATTTCATATATGAGGGTCGCCTGGGTGGCTCAGTCAGTTAAGCATCTGACTCCTGATTTTGGCTCAGGTCATGAGCTCACGGTTTGTGAGTTCAAGTTCCACATTGCCCTCTGCTCTGTCAGTACACAGAACCTGCTTGGGCATCTCTGTCTACTCTCTCTGTGTCCCTCCCCCACTCGTTCTGTCTCTCTCTCACAAAACTAAATAAACTTAAAAAAAATATTATCTTCTATATGAATGACCTCCATTTTAGGATCTCATTTTCCTGGCTAGCATAGCACACAAACTCATAGCTCCCATATTCTGCTAATGCTGCTGGGAGTTCTCTACTCCTCATATAAATCTCCAAGACTCCAAAATACATTCATTGCTTCTGTTACAGACAGAAACAGGAAAGAAATCTCTTCATCCAAAACAGGTTTTTTTCATAACACCAGGCTGCATATTTTTGCTTGTAAGTATCTAGGACCCAGCTAGAGACCTAACTACTATTACATTGGATTTATTTAAAAATATGTTTTAAAATTTTAACACCTCATGTATCAGTATCCCTAAGACAATTTATGTGTAATATAGGGACTCTTTGTACTTTACTGACAGCAGATAAGAAATGAGGGCTCCTTACCAATGCATTTTGCCAGGGGGCGTGGACACCTCACCAAGCTAATTATAGTAAGCTGCCCGTGTCTTTGATTAAAAATTACATTCTGGGAAATATTTGGGGACATGAATACTAGAACTCTGCATGTAGGTACACCTCTTTTCTATCTTATGAAAACAGGATAAGACCATACATGGAATTGTTCTCATTAATTTCCAGGACTCTCCCCTTTGGTTAAAGGATCTCCCGCCAGCCTTAACTCAGGGTGTCCTTTTTGCTGGGAGTGCCCTTCCCTCACCATCTCTATCAGTTTAAATTCATTAGAACTAGAGTAGGCTAACTTCTTCTAGGCTTTCCTTTCATTCCAGAGTATTCAGCAGTTTATAGATGCCACGTTATACCTTGTTGAACTGAGGGTGCTTAAGTATGTCTAATTTCTTTACTTAGACTATAAACTTCTGGTTAGAAGCAAGCCACAAGAGTATTGGTGGTGAGGCTGCAGAGATCAGAAAAAACTGTACTACAAAAGGCTATTCTTAACTAATATACAGAAATATAGTAACACTTTTGTGTTTAGAACGTGCTTTAGTTTACGGAACTTTTTGTGTAAGTTCTTGAGAGACAAGATCTCCAAAAAATGCAAAGAAAAAGTTTGAAGTAAAGTGTTTCCATTTAAGTATTCTTCCAAATATACAGGAATTGAATATGATCATGTGTCTCTAAACAGTAGAACTGAGGGAAGGTGAGAGTAAATGATTTACTTGAGCTTCCCCACATTTCTGTCTCTCGGGCAGCTGGTTCCTCGTATCTCCTCCGTAGATCTAGCAAAACTCCAAAAGGACACTTACATAGGAGAGATTGTAAAGTCAGGTAGAAACGTAGCCACCTTTGCTACAGATGTTTTGGTTTTCTCCCTTCTCTCTTCTTCAGTGTTTTCCATAATAATAATCTGAAGTGTATCAGCCACCTTTTTAGAGATGTACCTGGAAAAGTTTTAAAAAAAAAGAAAAGAAAATATATTTTGATCTTCTAAAATGGACTTGGTCTGTGTTTTCAATGGTTTAATCCTTTTAAAAATATTTAATTACTATTACATGTGCACTAATACTTGTTTGACATTGTTTGACAGGTAATACAAGAAACCCGGTTAAAACAAATGTACACAGCAGAAGAAAAGTACGTAGTGAAAACTTCCTTTTATTCAAACAAAGTTATTTCTAGCAACACATCCCTGAAAGTAGCCCAGTTTCTCACAGTCACCGTGGACCTAGAGCAAAGAAGACACTTAGAAGAACAGCTAAAGGTTGGTTATTTTGAGTACTGTATTAGAAAATATTAACTGGATTTGTAATACTTTAAGTAGATCTGTTTTTAAAATAATTTTGAATATCTCATAGGAAATTAATAGAAAACTGCAAGCCGTGGAAGCAGGGCTGATTGCCCTGTATGAGAGAAACAAGCATCTAGAACACAAAGACAATGAACTTAGACAGAAGAAGAAGGAGCTTCTTGAAAGGAAAACCAAGAAAAGACAACTGGAGCAAAAAATTAGTTCCAAACTAGGAAGGTACCATTCAGCCCCTTTGGGTAGAGGGGGCGGGCACAAAGCACTGCGAGGCTATTATGAGTTACATAGGCATACCTCGTTTTATTGCGCTTTGCAGATGCTGCGTTGTTTTCTTTCGTTTTGTTTACAAATTGAAGGTCTGGCAACCCTGTGTCAAGCAAGTCTGTTGGCACCATTTTTCCAGTAGCTTTTGTTTATGTTGTGCCTCTGTGTCACATTTTGGCGATTCTCACATTATTTCAAACTATTTGATTATGTGTTGTGATCTGTGATCAGTGATTAGGACTCTGAAATCTCAGATAACTTAGCATTCTTAAGCAGCAAAGTATTCTTTAATTAAGGTACGTACATTGTTTTTAGATACAACGCTGTGGCCCACTAAATAGACTATAGCATAGTGTAAGCATGACTCTTACACGCATTGGGAAACCACAAAATTCTTTTGACCTGCTTTATTGCAGTGGTCTGGAACCAAATCTGCAATATTTCTGAGGTATGCCTGTACCCTGTAAGGCTGATGCAATTCCCAAAAACACGTTTTGTAATAATTTCCCTCAAACTTTAATCCTACTGCCCAAAATAAAATTGTAGGGCAAAGGTTGGTGAATTTTAAGTGCTGTTCTTCTGTCCTTTGATCAACTGTTTTGACCGCTGGACCTCTTCCCATGCTTAAAAGTTATTGAGGACCTTGAGGAAGTTTCACTTATATATCTAGTGATATTTATACCACATTAGTAATTAAAACAGAATGTTTAAAATATTTATGAAAACCACTGTTTTCCAAACAAAATACATTTAGCAAGAAGAGTGGCATTGTTTTGCATTTTTATCAACCTCTTTTGATAAAGTTACTTGTTTATTTCATATCTGCTTTTACTTTCAGTCTATTGTGAGAGGTTGCTTTGAAGTAGATTGGTAGAATTTTCAGATAGTTACCTATATCGTCTTGTTTAATATTGCATCAAAACCTGCCAAGATTGTGGTTTGTTAAAGTTTATTTGCACTGTGGAGTCTGCAATTAGTGAGGTAGATTATTCTTATGTTAAAACTCATTGTATTGTAATTGGATCTTTTACCCAGTGATCTTGTTCCATCATGCATTGGTCATTTATAGGTCTTTCAAATATTGACATTTTAGTGTGTAAAGAAAATAATTATGTTGATTTCCAATCCCATCAGAAGGATCTTTAAGAATTGGGAAGCTATCAAGCTTACAGTGGTAGATAAAGATTTTCCAAATTCTACTTTTCACTTGAAAGTTGAATTTTATCATTGGGGGCAAATATTATCAGTTATTTTTCTTGAAGTGATAGGCTCACTTCATTCACTTTGGGTTGGGAGGAACAGTCTGCCAAATACCTGAGTCTAACCATAGTTTGTCTGTTATTCTTTCAAGAAAAACTGGTATTTCATGAAAAAAGTAGTCCAGCTCCCAACTCAGTCATGCAAATGCTTTTCCTTGAGGCCGCCATCATACTTTGGTATACATTAGAAGTACTGTGTACTGTATACTTCATCACGCTATTATAAAGATGTATGTAGTCAGTTACCATGGGGAGGTGGTTCAAGATGGCAGCATAGGGAGATACTGAATTCCCCCCCTGCCACAGACACAGCACATCAACTGCTACATATGAAACAATTTGCTCTGAAAAAGATCAGAAAACTAGCTGAACTGCTCTTCTGTAACAAGGGATGTAAGGTCCACATCAAGGGGGGTAGGAACTACAGAGATAGGGTCTCAAAACCCCGCCCCTAGTGTGGTGACCAATACTCGGGTAGTGTTGTGATCCATATCACAAATATGGAGCTCTTCCCTGAGGAGTTTGTGCCTACAGCAGGCACCCCAACCCTTGGGACCTGCACGAGAGAGATGAGTCCCCAAAACATCTGGCTTTGGAAACCAAGGGTCTTATATCTAGGAGAAAGGTACAGCAGTAGAGAATACAGGTTCTGCTCTTAAAGGGCTCATTCAAAGACTACAGGACCCTGGGCAAAGTAACCGTTTGAAAAGTAGTTAGCCCGTATGTGAAGGAGATTCATTTTGCTTAATTTTTTTTTTTTTTTTTTTTTTTTTTAACGTTTATTTATTTTTGAGACAGAGAGAGAGACACAGCATGAACGGGGGAGGGATAGAGAGAGAGAGGCACAGAGTCTAGCGGAAGCTGGGCTCTGAGCCATCAAACAGAGCCCGGGAATTTTGCTCGGAATTTGCAGACCATCGAGATCGCGGACCTGAGCCGGTCGATGCCAACCACTGGAGAGCGCAACCAGGCTCTATTTGCTAATCTTAAAGTATCCACCCAAGAGGCAGGAGCCTAATGGAAATTCCTCCTGGGACAGAGGCACTGGTGGGCACCATTTTTGCACTCCGCCTGTAATCTGCTGGCACTGGTGGGTGTATGCCATGCCCACATCCCCGCCAGAGCTGGGTGGCCAAGGTTCTGAAATGATCAGAGACAGTTCTTGGCAAGCTACTATCCCATGGCCCTGCATAGACAGCAATCAGAAACACTCTCCAGTCTTCTTGTGGAAAAGACCCCTTCGTCCTAGAACCACAGCTTCAGGGGTTCCAGGACTACCACACATCTAGAGGCTACAGAATTGTCCTCAGGCAACATGGTCTAGGAGATGTCATCTCTGTCATACTGTGTGTTGGCCTTGCCAAAGCCCACCAGTACCTCCGAGAAAGGGCTCCTCTGGAGCCCTCATTTTTGCAGCAGTTTCCGAGGAGACCCCTCCAGATTGTGTGGTGTGTAAGCCAACAGGGTTTATGGTTGTGGTCCCGTAGGACTCTCTCTATATATTTGCATAGCTTAAAAGCTGCTGCCTGAAGTTCTGGCTTCTATTCTAGCTTCTGTTCAGCCTGAAACCAGGGGCAGACTGAGATCCCATCCTCAGGAACACTCACAGCGCTTGGCAGTCCCTCAGCAACTGGGCTGTATCGAGGATCAATCAGGCTGGTTAGACCACAAAGGTTCATGTGACAACCAAGAGCTAAGCACAGTTGAATGACAGGGTTCATCTCCATAAGGCCAGTTCAAGACTTGTTGAAGCTTGAGAGGGTTGAAGGTTGTTTCATCTGCTGCTTAGAAATCAACACAGGACCAAAAAAGAAAAAAAGAAAGAAAGAAAGAAAGAAATCAACACAGAATCAAGCAAAATGAAGAGACAAAAGAGTGCGTTCCAAATGAAAGAACAAGATAAAACACCAGAACAAGAACCATTATGAAATGGTGATAGTTTACCTAAAAAAGAATTCAAAGTAATGGTCCTAAAACAAGAGGAATGAATACAGCAAGAACTTCGCTAAGGAGAAATACAAATAAAGTCCCACACAGACTTCACAATGCTGACGAACACAGTAACTGAAACGAAAAATACACTGGAGGGATTCCAGCAACAGACTAGATGAAGCAGAAGAAAAATCAGTAATGTGGGAGACAGGGTAGTAGAATTCATCCAAAAACAACAAGAAATAATTTTAAAAAGTAAAAATAGCTTAAGGGACAACATCAAGCAGAGTAACTTTTGCATTATATGAGTCACAGAAGCATAAAGAGAGAAAGGAGCAGAAAAACATATTTGAAGAAATAAATAACTGAGAAGTTCCCTAACCTCAGGAAGGAATAGACATCCAGATCCAGGAAGCCCAGAGAGTTCCACATGAGCACAAGAGGAAATCTCTTCTGCAGAAGAGCAATGATTTTTTTTTTTTTTTTTTTTACTGAAAACAAATCACTTTACAGTCAGATGCCAGTGACATTTGACAGTACTGGAAACCGGCATTCCTCAGTAGTGAAGAATTTACACAATGTTCAGGGCTCTTGGTGTTTCATTTTTAAGCATCCCTGATAGATGGGAGCATATTATTTGTGTCTGAGAGTATGTGACTTCATCACTTTAATGTGTACCATCTGATGTTAGGAATCAAAGTATTTTATCTCAGAGAGGGAACATTCACTGGTTTATAAAATGCTCTCTACCCATCTGCTTGAAAGTGATTCATTAATGCCTGAATATTTAAAATCAGTTAGAATTCTCTTTTCATATGCTTTGAGGAACAGTAGACCCAAAGGAGTAATACACTTATGAATATGTGGAATTTATAGGAAATTTCAAATCATTAAACACTTAACCACGGAAGGGTTTTGAAGGAACTATACAAGCTGTCATAGGCCTTATGATGATTGAGATTGTATTGTAACTACTGTCAGATGAGCTACACCTCAGTTCATCAAGGATGTGTACTGTTGAAGAGCCTAATGAAGAGTTTTAGACATCTAGACGTAGTTTAGAATTCTATTTCTAGGTTACAAGGAATTACCTGTGATAGGGCATTTGTCATTTGAAGCTCTCTGGACATCAGGGTAGGATTACATCATGTGGATGGTCTAGAACATTTGGCAAAACTGTCATGAGCACCTAATGCAGTCTGGGAAAGGCAAGTCATGTGGCTATAGCTCACTGATCAAAGGTCCACAGTGGATTTGGCTTCACAGTCATCATATCGTTTATCATCAGTGGAATTCAAGGCCAGAGTTTGTTGTTGGTAGTCACACCATAGTAAATTAACTCAGTAGGTGGGACTGGAAGATGAGTACTTGGCATTGAAGAGTCTCTTTCTGAGACAACTGCTGACAAAGGCCAAGATTCTGTGTCTGATAATCCTATAGACCCAGTCTCAACGAAGTATTGGAAAAGTGTGATCATAGCCCAGCCCCTTCTGCTTCCTTCCAGAGTTCAAGAAAATCATCTCACGCAGCAGTCTCAGACCACTCCTCAACACCAACCAAGACCCAGCAGATAGTTGCACTCCTCCCAGACAGTATGTACTAGCTCCTAAAAAGATGACACAAAGGAGGTCATTGTTTAGTCCATAAATTCCCCATCTGTTGTTCAGTCATTAATACAGCTTGATGTCTCAAGCTGCATCTGTACCAGTTCCTTAAAACATGTCTCCGTGTCAGTTTTTAGCTCAGTTATGAGCCATGCAGCAT